TGTAATCAACACAGCACTCCAAGTTTTCTGGATCGTCCTTGCCAAAGGAGAATCCTGCAGTTAGATTCTGTGTTCTGGGTGTGTCTGACAGATGGAACAGGGGAAGTGATTCTTCTTGATGCAGTCTCACCTCGTGACTTCTACTGTTGGATGCATGCAGTTTGTGGATGTCGCTCAAACTATCAACTGTGTTTCTCTTTGTGGCTTTTCCCGGTCGTGGTCTGGAAAAGTGGGTGTGGTCGTTTGCCCGGGTATTTGACCGTGTTTTACCCGGGTTCTTGGACAACATATTTAAATGGGACTTCTCTGGAAAAGGAATGATAATATTTTGTTGATAAATACAACTATGTGAACTGCTAGTGTTGTCAATACTTGACCCTGACGCACAGGCGGCATGATTAATGGCTCCATTTACATTTCCAGCATTGTCAGACTGTAAGGAATATAAAGGATTCGCCTGACTTGTACAGCAAGTGTTCTTGGCTACACTGTGGTCACCTGTTTCATGTAAATTGTTCCGACTTTGGTCATAGAAGGAAATCATCTGAGCTCGTTTGCATGCAGAATTATAACAAATGCTTCCATACTCTGGGCTTCCTTCTGCGAAAGGCAAGTCTTCATCTGTAGAGGAACTTTGCGGGGTAGGCTCCAATTGCCGGCAACAGGGATTTTGACAGTTTTCTAATGCCTTATTATCACAATTTACATAGACTGAGCACTTGGCGTCTGTGTCGTAGAGCCTATAAAATTCAATAGGCTTGCTAAAGATGTTCTCATTAGTCTCCAACTGATCGCTACAGGATGCTTCAGCGGGAAAGCTGTAACAACGCCGTTTCTTGTGTTTCGGAGTAAAAACGGATAAAAAGGAAGACTGTGATGAAAGAGGTGAGGTGAGGCTTGTGTAGAAGATCCCAGGATACGACGCTGTTGGCGACGATAAGCGGAGCACATTGGTCTGGTCTGAGTTATCATGCTCAGGCCTTACTTGTGCAACTACGAGTGTCTGTGTATTGTTTACGCTACCCCTTTCTGTTGTTATCTCCCCTGGTCTCATCAACAAATCGGAAATAATCGGATCTTGTTGTTTATCTTGTGTCGCGGATGAGTAAATAACGTGTCCGTTATCACAACTATCTATACTTCTTGCTCCCATCGCAGAGTTTTTCGTCGAATCTTCTATACTACTTTTTCTGTGTGCGTTGTAAGGCGCATTCTTCCGCTCTGTCACCAGCGGCCATGTTTGCGAACTAGCTATTGCCTTTGAAGTTGTAGATGTGGTTTCAGAGTCAGTTGTTGCGTGTGTCTGGGGCAACGTAGGTTCTGTTTCCTTGGCTACGGCTGTTGAACTGTGAATAGCGCGGTGTTTCTTAGTGCTTATATTCCTATAATAATCATATTCGTCAAATATGACGTCAACATTGTTGTCGTAGAAAAGTCGGGTGAGGTCCACGGGTTTCTCTTTTTGAATAATACCTGCAATGTAAAACAGGACATTTATTATCATATGAGACAATTATATCACTTAAAATATGATTTTGTAAAGGTCAAATTAAATTTATAAACGTGTAAAGTCAGGGCTATTTAACTAGCGGCGAGCTGGCCAAATGCAGCCGGCGGATGACTAGAAAGTGGTCCGCGAATCATTGCCAGTTGTATTGCAATAATAATCATATTATGCTAGGCGGGAGACTTCTGGCCCCTGACGGTGGCTCTTTTTAACCCTTTCGACCACAAGTAAACTTAGTTGAATTGCCCTGGCTAAAGGCACCCGATTATATCCTAAACGGCTTAGTCTCTCTCTGCAGAAGGCTCACTGACAGGGCCGTATAAAAATTGAATTCCAGGTTCGATGATGATACCTATGGCTCAAGTCCAATTTAAGAAACGAAACAAAACAAACATATGATCACTTTGTAAACAATCTCGGTTATAATTGTAGCTTTGGTTTATTTGTGCCAAGTTAGAGAGCTGCGTGGTGTTGAGTCATGATGTCCACCTATAGTTCTAGAGGTTCCGGATTCAATCCCCAGTAAGGAGTTAAATTTTTTTCGCGTGGACTTGGATTTCTGGTAATTCCCCCTGGTCTCTGGGTAGTGAGATCAGACGTCCGTGTGCATTGTTGCGCACGTAAAAAATCCTTTGGCAGTTGGAAATCAAAAAGAGTAGTGCAAATATTTGGAGTTAAAAATCTACCCCAAAGTATTTCAGGATCCTCGCTGTTGCTACAGAGCCTGTGCACTGTGCCAAGCTTCTTAGGACCCAGACTTGAGTTAGAAGAAGGGCGGACCACTTATGGGTTACTACCCGTGTGCCATGATGATGATCCATTGTTCAAAACCTCAATGAATTTTTCGAAAGTTTTTGCGCCAGTGTTACTGGTTTAGTTGGCACTTTGTTTTTCTCTCCAACATTGTATGTCTGGGTTCCTTATTGCAGTCCCTTTTAGTATGTCCGTCCACCTAACGGTGCATATCATGTTCTGGTTCTGCTTCTTCTTTTTCTTCTTCTGCCTCTCTAACCCCCTATGGAGCATAGGCTTTCAAACAAACTCACGCCAAGTGGCTCTATCCTTAGCTATCGCATGCAGCTATTCCCATGTTCTGGTTCTCATTGTTTTAGTTATATACCATGCTTTGTTTTTTTTCTATATTTTTTGGGTGTCATCGGCTGTGTGTCATTCCCACGAGTGGTTGTCGTAGGGCCCTCAGCCTGTGGGAAGGGCGCCAACATCTTTGAATGGCTAGCGGAAAGGTGGTGCGGGAAGGGGGAACCATTAAATGGCCATATTTCAGTGAAAGCACTAGCTATTCGTGTCTAAGTCCTCGGCTCAAAGACCGGCTGGTGTTGAATTTGAATACTATAATATTGACTAGATGGCGGTGATGCAGTGGAAAATGCCACACCTCGAGAAAAAACTCGTCTTAAAGTCAATGCCATGTAGCGTTGGAAGTCATGTCAGTCCACAACCATCTGTTTCGTGTACTGTCAGTGAAATCTGACACAGATGATCTTCCATGCCTTGATGTCAAACTTTCCAGCATCTGTTCTCTCGGTCTCCCTCTGCCTCTCCTCCCCTTTAACTTTCACGATGTACTCCGGTTTTCTCCTTCTTATCACAGGACCAATTAATGTAGATTTCCTCTTTCTGATGTGGACAATCAGTTCTCTTCGTGAGTCCGTTTTATTTTTTCAAAACGTCTTCGTTACTTCGTCTATAAAACCGCATCTCCGCAGCTTCCAAATAAGTTTTTACTAATTTACCAAATGTCCGTGATTCACTTCCATATATCAAGATAGGATTTATATTACTTTTAAGAATTATCTTTTTCGTCACAACTGGCAAAGAAAGATTGCATAAAACATTCTTCATTTTGCAAAATGCTGCCCTTGTTGGAGCGATTCGACATTTAACTTCATTGATACATATTTCATCAGATGTCATCAGGGTACCCAAGTACTTAAACATATCAACTTACTAGAGGTTTGTCCCATTAACTTTGGTGTTACAGTTTTTGTTTTAAACACTACTGTTTGATAAATCCATGATTCCCAGAATGGTAAAAGTGCTTCAGTATGTTCTGTTTGTTCTCAATCCGGCACGCCTACACGTAAACAGAAATGCCAGAGCCGGTATATGTAGGCCCCTTGAGACACTCAAGAAAAAGAAAAAAAACAGGGAAATGGCTGAACCCCGACCTTTTAGAAGTGTTTGATGTACACAAACACTCGGGTTAGATAGCAACGTCTGTTTACCTGTTGATGCAGGATAAAACATCCGGTAAGCTAAGTCAGGTTGAACCATAAATAAAGAGTTGATCTACGAACTTTGTGCGTCTCTGTTTGCGTGTTTTCTTCATACCCCCACCCCCAACTCTTTTTTCCCCTCCCCTTTTTGTGTGCATTTGTTTTCAGGTATTTATCTATAATCTGAAGCTGTGTTTCAACTCTCTGTGTTATTTAAGCTGTTTTCCAGTCTTTCCGTGTTATTTTAGCTGATTGTGTGTCTTTCCATCTTATTGAAGCTGTTTTGCGTCTTTCTGTGTTATTTTAGCTGTTTTTGTGTCTGTCCATGTTAATGAAGCTGTTTTACGACTTTCTGTGTTTTTTTAGTTGTTTTCGTGTCTGTCCATGTTACTAATGCTGTTTTATATTTTTCTTGGTTACTGGAAATTTGTTTTCTCTCTCTTTTTATTTCTGCATTACTGGGGCTGATTTCAGGTCTTTATCTCTGTTTTACATAAATATTCTCATTATTTAATACGAATGATTCCAAAGATGCCAGCAACGAGAGCGTACAGAACGACAGTAGAAACATCAGAAGGTAGGGAACTACACAAAAGATAACGAGCAGTCATTGATACTTTGAGTCTCCACAACATCACAGAATGCCTCAGCCAAGTAGCCCTAGCCTGGACCCCCCATCATCTGTTTTACGTAATTTTACGTATCTCTGTGTTTCTAAAGCTGTTTTATGTCTCGCTCTCTCTGTTATTAAAGCTGTTTTATGTCGCTGTGTGTTATTAAAGCTGTTTTATATATCTGTATGTTATTAAAGCTGTTTTATATCTGTCTGTGTTATTAAAGCTGTTTTAAATCTTTCCGTGTTGTTAAAGCTATTTTATATCTCTTTGTGTTGTTAAAGCTGTTTTATATCTGTCTGTGTTATTAAAGCTGTTTTAAATCTTTCTGTGTTATCAAAGCTGTTTTATATCTGTCTGTTTTTAAAGCTGTTTACCAATTCTGTTGTGTTGTCAGGAGGGTCTTTGAACCTGAGAATTTACGGCCGCATGGCTAGTGTTGTCGCCACAACTGTGCGGGTGAGGATTTTTTTTGTTTTTTGTTGGACCACCCAACAGAAAAAATGTCCATAGTCTTACCAAGGATTAGAACCTGGGTCTCTCGCTTCAGAGCCCAGCGTTCTAACCATTCGGCCACTGCTCCTTTCAGACTGCTTACTGCTGCCTGAAATAGTTAAATTTATCAAGTATGTTTGATCACAGCTACCAAAAAAAAAAAAACTCCCTGCATGTTAATGAGTCACCGAACGCAGACAGGGATGTTGTTTTCTGGCATAAACATGTAAACTTCTCACCCAGATCGGACTGGTACTTTGCCAGCATTAACGTTGTTATTCTTCGTCTTTCCAACAGGCCCGACTTGACCCGCGTCTCGTCTCTTTTGCGCAAGTACCTGTGTTTAGAAGTTAGAATACACATCGTTTATGCTATTACGCCATATCATGACAAGATAACCTGGAGAAATCAAATTCTGTCAAGTTAGGAGGACGGGTGATTAAAATGACGATGATGATGATTATGATGTTTGTTTGTTTGTTTGTTTGTTTTAGAATCCAGAAGCCATGAGTTGTTAACCCTCAGGCTCGGTATTATGGATATCGCAATCCTTCGGCCTTGATTCCATTGTAAATACCGTAAATCTGGGAGAAAATGCGGCTTTCCTGCCCACCCCCGGGATTGAACCCGGACAACAAGGAGTTCGTCACCCGGTCTCCACGCAATCCGGTTTAGCCAACCACGCCAGACAGCCGGGTGATGATTATGATGAGGATGATGTGGTGGTGGTGGTGGCGGTGGTCAGTGCACAATAATGGTGTTTGTTTGGCAATACAAAGTAGGCTTTTCTCTTCTTCTTCTTCTTCTTCTTCTTTTCTTCTTTCTTCTTCTTCTTCTTCTTCTTCTTCTTCTTCTTCTTCTTCTTCTTCTTCTTCTTCTTCTTCTTCTTCTTCTTCTTCTTCTTCTTCTTCTTCTTCTTTTTTTTTTTCATCTTCTTCCTCTTCTTCGCGCTCACCAGTTGTAAACTCTGGCGAAAAGTTGGACTGCAGTTCTGTTCCAGAACCTGAGTGTTGCGTGTGCATCTGTTTTACAGATGTGACTCATTTGTATGCAGACTTCTGGTTCCTTGCCTCTCAAGCAAATGCACTCCGACTGTGAAGGAAGCTCCTAATTAGTCGACTCTTACGACATGCTTTTGGGTAGGCAGTGAGTCTATTTTTGTTTTCCCTATAACAGGGCCCCGGAACCCACACGGGGAAAGCAGGCTTTCAAAGTACAGGTCTGAAAACATGCGTGTTGTTCTTCTTGTCTTCGTATTTGCTGTTGCTATTGTTGTTGTTGTTGTTATTGTGTTGTTGTTGTTTGCCTTAGACTTGGACCTGACACAGATGAGGCTCGAATAGCATACACAACCTAACGGGCTGTAGCCCTGGGTTAAAACCATTCGTACATAGACTAAACAGTATACCTCTCCCGGTTTCTCTTGTGGTAGCACCAAAAATGAACCGCCAGAAAAGTGACGCAGCTGACGCCGATCAGGACATAGGGAATCCACAGTTCTGGGGAACTGCTTCTGTGTCATGACCAAATAAAAATGATTAATAATAGTATCAGTAGTAATATTAGTGGTGATGGTTGTAGTGGTTGAGGTGGTGGTAGTAGTAACAACAGCAGCATTAGCAGTTTTAGTAGTAGTATTTACAGACTAGTTCGAGAATTGTAGAAGTAGTAGCAGTAGTAGCAGCAACAGTAGTAGTCGTAGTAATAGTAGCTGCTGTTGTTGTAATTGCAGTGGTAGAAAAAGCAGTGACAGCTGCAGTAGTAGTATCTGCAAAAGTGGTTGCAGTAGGAGCAGAAGCAGTTGTTGTAAAAGCAGCAGCAATTTAACTAGTAGTAGTTGGGGTAATAGAAGTAGTTGAAGTAGTAATTGGTGTAGATCGAATAAGTTGCAAAGCAGCAATGGTGGTGGTAATGGGAGCAGCAGCAGCAGTAGTAGTAGCAGTAGGAGGTGGAGGAGTAGAAGTAGCAGTGGTGTCTCTGCAAGGCACACAACTTGGTATCAATTCGCATAATAAAAAGATTAAACAGAGGTTAGCATATCTCAGTATGCGATAATATCATAATACCATACAAAGTATACACGAAAAGATGAGAAAAACGTAGAGCACGAGTTAGACCAAAAACAAAATAGAAAGATAACATCAAAGATGTGTTTTTAGTCGCGGCGGCCATAAAAACAAGAAATAGAACCTCATATCTCTATCGACGCCTGAAGAGTAATGATAATAATAATAGTAATAATAATAATAATAATATCATTAATTATTATTATTATTTTTAAAAGAAGAAGAAGAAGAAGAAAAAGAAGAAGAAGATGAAGAAGAAGAAGGATAAAGAGGATAAAGAGGAGAAAAAGAAGAAGAAGAAGAAGCAGAAGAAGAAGAAGAAGAAGAAGAAGAAGAAGAAGAAGAAGAAGAAGAAGAAGAACAACAACAACAACAACAACAACAACAACAACAACAACAACAACAACAACAACAAGAATGCCATAATGTAGGCACATAGCGATTATTTCTTAGATATTTGTTGAGTATATCACGCCTTTATCCACGCCTATATGTGTATTGGGTATATAATGGGACAATGGGACCCCGGAACCCACACACCTTCAAGCCCCTATATTACTCAGTAAAAACAACTGTGGGTCTGAAGTGGTTTACTGACAGACAGATACTCGTTGAGTATTGTAGGTAATACAAAACATTAAGTCACTACAGTTCAAAAAGCTTGAACAGGACAACATTTTGCAGACCTGCCCACTCTACCTACAACTTAGAAAAAAAAACCTTGTCTCATTAGTACAGTGTGCAGAGCAAGCTATAGGGAACAATAAAGGTCTTGTAGCTGGCATGTGAGTTCAGTGAGGCAACCCACCTGATGGTCTGACCTGAGAAAACGATATTAATAGCAAAGAAGACGAACAAAGAAAAAGGATTAGACAGAGAATGACCCACGAGGCAAAAAAACTATCAAGAAGAAACTTTTTTCAGGACCCTCACCGGTGCTAAAAGATCCTGTACACTGTGTTTAGCTTTTTCCCTGACTCGACTTAAGTAAGAAGAAAGAAAGGAGAAATGAGAGTTACAAAAACCTTTAGTCCCGTGTCCCTAGTTTTGATTTTTGTTAAAAATCTCACCCCTTTTTTTCTTTTCTCCTTCTTTTTCTTCCCCCTTTTTACTCAGCGAAGTGTGGGAAGAGGGGGGGGGGGGGGGGGGGGTTTGTAACATTATTTGATGACCCTCGTCAAAGAAATTTTAAATTTCTGAGGTTTTTTTTTCTGTAAGGCTGTTCTTAATCCCATCACCATTTTTTCCCGAGGTTTTCTTTCCCTTTTTTACCCGTTGTAACGTTTTAGGGGGGGCCGCTGTGGCGATAAAAACCAGGGCATTTATTTAGATGCCCAACCCCTTTTTATTTTTGTTTTTAATGCCCCTGTAAAAATTGGCTTTATTCCCAGCTTTCGTTTTGATTTCATGTTTTCGTATTCTGTTTTTCCCTTGAAACCCCTGAAAGCTTTCTAAGGCATTTATCTTGTTGTCAAAATTTTTACGTTAATGGAAAATGTCTACTTTTGGCACTGATAGCTTTAGGTGGCCAAAAAAAAAATTTTGAAAAGTTCATTTTAGTATTCGGGTATCTGCTTGTGTGTCAAACGGGGAATATTTGGAATCTTTTATTTGTTAGCTTTTACATTTTCGAGCAATTTTTCTGTCCCGTTTTCAGGCGAATGTGAAAATTTCTAAGTACTTAAAATCCCCCCATTTGTTTTTAAGGGGTTAAATTTTTTAAATTTTAAACCCCAAACCCGGGACAAAATAAACATGGGTGGGATTCAGGGAAATGTATCCACATTGAAAAAGGGGGCTACAAAATACTAAACGGGGGATACAGGGTATACCTTTTACATGAGGTTAAAGGGGGATTTTCAGGTTGGTGGGCGGAAATTCCCAAAAGAAAAAAAAACTGTGTGGAACAGGGAGACCTTTAAATTTCCCACAGTTTTTATAGAGACCTTTGGCCCTTCTCATTTGAAAAAAAATGACAGGGGGGACGAAAAGGGAAAAGGGGGGGAAAAAAAAATACAAGGAAAAAATACCATTTAAATATAAAACTCCGCCCCGACAGAAACCCAAGTTTTGCCCCAAAGGGGTTTCCCAAAGAACCCAAAAAAACCCAAAAATACAATTTAAAAAACCAAAAACGCCCTGTATTGAGGGCCCCATAGAAAAAAAACCCGAAGAAAAAGAAGGGGCCCCCCGACCATAAAAATCGGTTTCCCCGGCGTGCCGCCATTTCAGGTTGGGAACCCGTCTAAGTCCCGGATAGTAAAAAAATCGAACTGTTTCCTTTCCCCCCCGGTTTTTCCCCCCCCCCGTAAAAAAGGGGGGAGAAAAAGGAAGAAGAAGAAGAAGGGAAAAAAGGGAAAAGAAGAAGGAAGAAGAAAAAAAAAAAAAAAAAAACCCCCCCGGGGAAGAAAAAAGAAGAAAAGAAAAAAGAAAGAAGAAGAAAAAAGAAGAAGGGAAAAAAGAAGAAGAAGAAGAAGAAGAGAAGAAGAAGAAGAAGAAGGGAAGAAGAAGAAGAAGAAGAAGAAGAAGAAGAAGAAGAAGAAAAAAGAAGAAGAAGAAAAAAGAAGAAGAAGGGAAAAAAGAAAAAGAAGAAAAAGAAGAAGAAAGAAAAAGAAAGAAGAAGAAGAAGAAGGGAAAAAGAAAAAAGAAGAAAAGAAGAAGAAGAAGAAGAAGAAGAAGAAAAAAGGAAGAAGAAGGGAAAAAGAAGAAGAAGAAGAAAAAAGAAGAAGAAGAAGAAGAAAGGGAAAAAGAAGAGAAGAAGAAGAAGGGAAAAAGAAAAAAGAAAAGAAGAAGAAGGAAGAAAAAAGAAGAGAAGAAGAAGAAGAAGAAAAAAGAAGAAAAAGAAGAAGAAGAAGAAGAAGAAAAAAGAAAAGAAGAAGAAGAAGAAGGGAAGAAGAAGAAAAAAGAAAGAAGAAGAAGAAGGAAAAAAGAAGAAGGAAGAAGAAGAAGAAGAAAAAAGAAGAAGAAGAAAAAGAAGAAGGAGAAGAAGAAGAAGGGAAAAAGAAGAAAGAAGAAGAAGAAGAAAGAAGAAGAAGAAGAAGAAAGAAGGAAAAAAAGAAGAAGAAGAAGAAGAAGAAGAAGAAGAAGAAGAAGAAAGAAGAAAAAAGAAGGAAAAAGAAGGAAGAAGAAGAAAAAGAAGAAGAAGAAGAAGAAAAAAGAAAGAAGAAGGAAGAAAGAAGAAGAAGAAGAAGAAGAAGAAGAAGAAAAAAGAAGAAGAAGAAGAAGAAAAAAAGAAGAAGAAGAAGAAGAAGAAGAAGAAGAAGAAGAAGAAGAAGAAGAAAAAGAAAAAAGAAGAAGAAGAAGAAGAAGAAAAAGGGAAAAGAAGAAGAAAAAAGAAGAAAAAGAAGAAACGAAAAAAAAGAAGAAGAAGAAGAGAAAAAGAAGGGAAAAAGAGAAGAAGAAAGGGAAAAAGAAAAAAAGAAAAAGGAAGAAGAAAAGAAGAAGAAGAAGAAGAAGAAGAAGGAAGAAGAAGAAGAAGAAGAAAAAAGAAGAAGAAAAAAGGGAAAAAGAAGAAGAAGAAGAAGAAGAAAAAGAAAAGGGAAAAAGAAAAAGAAGAAAAAGGGAAAAAGAAGAAGAAGAAGAAGGAAGAAGAAGAAGAAGAAGAAGGGAAGGAAAAGAAGAAGAAGAAGAAGAAGAAAAAAGAAGAAAAAGGGAAAAAGGGAAAAAGAAGAAAGAAGAAGAAGAAAAAGGGAAAAAGAAGAAAAAAGAAGGGAAAAAGAAGAAGAAGAAAAAGAAGAAGAAGAAGAAGAAGAAGAAGAAGAAAAAGAAGAAGAAAAAGAAGAAGAAGAAGAAGAAGAAGAAAAAGAAAAAAGGAAGAAGAAGAAGAAGAAAAAGAAGAAGAAGAAAAAGAAGAAGAAGAAGAAAAGAAGAAAAGAAGAAGAAGGGAAAAAGGGAAAAAGAAGAAAGGGAAAAAGAAGAAGAAGGGAAAAAGAAGAAGAAGAAGAAGAAGAAGAAGAAGAAGAAGAAGAAGGGAAAAAAAAAAAAAAGAAGAAGAAGAAGGAAGAAGAAACGAAAGAAGAAGAAGAAGAAGAAGGGAAAGGGAAAAAAGAAGAAGAAGAAGAAGAAGAAGAAGAAAAAAAGAAGAAGAAGAAGAAGAAGAAAAAGAAGAAGAAGAAGAAGAAAAAGAAGAAAAAGAAGAAGAAGAAGAAGAAGAAGAAGAAAGAAGAAGAAGGGAAGAAGGAAGGAAGAAGAAAAAGAAAGGAAAAAAGAAAAAGAAGAAGAAGAAGAAGAAGAAGAAAGAAGAAGAAGAAGAAAAAAGAAAAAAGAAGAAGAAGAAGGGAAAAAGAAGAAGAAGGGAAAAAGAAGAAGAAAAGAAGAAGAAGAAGAAGAAGAAGAAGAAGAAGAGAAGAAGGAAAGAAGAAGAAGAAAAAAGAAGAAGAAGGAAAAAAAGAAGGAAAAAGAAGAAAGAAGAAGAAGAAGGAAAAAAGAAGAAGAAGAAGAAGAAGAAGAAAAAGAAGAAGGCAAAGAAAGAAAGAAGAAGGGAAAAAGAAGAAAGAAAAGAAGAAGAAAAGAAGAAGGGGAAAAAAGAAGAAGAAAAAAGAAGAAGAGAAGGGAAAAAGAAGAAGGAAAAAAGAAGAAGAAGAAGAAGAAGAAAAAAGAAAAAGAAGAAGAAGAAGGGAAAAAAGAAGAAGAGAAGAAAAAAAGAAGAAGAAGAAGGGAAAAAGAAGAAGAAGAAAAAGACGAAGGGAAAAAGAAGAAGAAAAGAAGAAAAAGAGAAGAAGGGGAAAAAGAAAAAAAGAAGAAGAAGGGAAGGGAAAAAGAAAAGAAGAAAAGAAGGAAAAAAAAGAAGAAGAAGAAGAAGAAGAAGAAGAAGAAGGGGAAAAAGAAGAAGAAGAAGGGGAAGAAAAGCAGAAGAAGAAGAAGAAGAAGAAGAAGAAGAAGAAGAAGAAGAAGAAGAAGAAGAAGAAGAAGAAGAAGAAGAAAAAGAAGAAGAAGAAGAAGAAGAAGGAAAAAGAAGAAGAAGAAGAAGAAAAAAGAGAAGAAGAAGGGAAAAAGAAAGAAGAGGGGAAAAAAAAAAAGGAGAGGAAAAAGGGAAAAAGGAGAGGGAAAAAGGGGGAAGGGAAAAAGGGAAAAGGAAGAGGAAAAATTAAAACCAAAAAAGAAAAAGAAGAAGGGAAAAAGGGAAAAAGAAGAAAAAAAAAAGGGAAAAGGAAGAAGGGAAAAAGGAAGAAAAAGAAGAAGAAAAAGAAGAAGAAGAAGGAAAAGAAAAAGAAGAAGGAAGAAGAAGAAGACGAAGAAGAAAAAAAGAAGAAGAAGAAGAAGAAAGAAAAAGAAGAAGAAGAAAAAGAAGAAGAAGAAAAGAAGAAGAAGAAGAAGAAAGAAGAAGAAGGGAAAAAGGGAAAAAGAAGAAGAAGGGAAAAAGAAGAAGGGAAGAAAGAAGAAAGAAGAAGAAGAAGAAGGGAAAAGAAGAAAAGAAGAAAAAGAAGAAGGAAGAAGAAAAAAGAAGAAGAAGAAAAAAGAGAAAGAAGAAGGGAAAAAGAAGAAGAAGAAGAAAAAGAAGAAGAAAAGAAGGGGAAAAAAGAAAGGGAAAAAGAAAAAGAAGGGGAAAAAGAAGAAAAGAAGAAAAAAGAAGAAGAAGAAGAAGAAAGGGAAAAAGAAAAAGAAGAAAAAGAAGAAGAAAAAGAAAGGGAAAAAGAAGAAGAAGAAGAAGAAGAAGAAAGAAGAAGAAGGAAAAAAGAAGAAGAAGAAGAAGAAGAAAAGAAGAAGAAGAAGAAGAAGAAAAAAGAAAGAAGAAGAAAGAAGAAGAAGAAGAAGAAAAAAAGAAGAAAAAAAAGAAAAGACGAAGAAAGAAGAAGGAAAAAGAAGAAAGAAAAAGAAGAAGAAAAAAGAAGAAGGGAAAAAGAAAGGGAAAAAGAAAGAAGAAGAAAAAGAAGAAGGGAAAAAGAAGAAGAAAAAAGAAGAAGGGAAGAAGAAAAAAAGAAGAAGAAGAGAAAAAAGGGAAAAAGAAGAAAAAGAAGAAGAAGAAGAAGAAGAAGAGAAAAAAGAAGAAGAAGAAGGGAAAAAGGGAAAAAGAAGAAAAGAAGGGAAAAAGAAGAAGAAGAAGAAGAAGAAGAAGAAAAAGAAAAAAGAAGAAGAAAAGAAGAAGAAAAGAAGAAGAAAGAAGAAGAAGAAGAGAAGAAGAAGAAAGAAGAGAAGAAGAAGAAGAAAGAAGAAGAAGAAAAAAAAGAAGAAGGGAAAAAGAGAAGAAGAAAAAAGAAGAAGAAGAAGAAGAAAAGAAGAAGAAGAAGAAGAAGAAGAAGAAGAAAAGAAGAAGGGAAAAAGGAAGAAGAAGAAAAAGAAGAAGAAAAAAGAAGAAGAAAAAGAAGAAGAAGAAGAAGAAAAAAGAAGAAGAAGAAAAAGAAGAAGAAGAAGAAGAAGAAGAAGAAGGAAAAAGAAGAAGAAGGAAAAAAGAAGAAAAAGAAGAAGAAAAAGAAGAAGAAGAAAAGAAGAAGAAGAAGAAGAAGAAGAAAAAGAAGAAGAAGAAGAAGAAGAAGAAGGGAAAAAGAAGAAGAAAAAAAGACGAAGAAGAAGAAGAAAAAAGAAAAAGAAGAAGAAAGAAGAAGAAAGAAGAAGAAGAAGAAGAAGAAGAAGAAGAAAAAAAGAAAAAAGAAGAAGAAGAAAGGGGAAAAAAAGAAGAAGAAGAAGAAGAAAAGAAGGGGAAGAAAGAAGAAGAAGAAAGAAAAAAAGAAGGAAGAAGAAGAAAAAAGAAGAAGAAGAAGAAGAAGAAAAGAAAAAAGAAAGAAGAAAAGAAGAAGAAAGAAGAAGAAGAAGAAAAAGAAGAAGAAAAAGAAAAGAAGAAAAAAGAAGAAAGAAGGAAGAAGAAGAAGAAGAAGGAAGAAGAAAGAAGAAAAGAAGAAGAAGAAAAAGAAGAAGAAAAAGAAACAAGAAGAAGAAGAAGAAGAAGAAGAAGGAAAGAAAAAAGAAAAAAAGAAATTTGCGACATGGCTGGCCTTTGCTTCAGTACTGGAACCAGACAGGAAAAGCTGAAGCTCCACTCCAACGGCCATTCAGTTGGGCCGCCTGTTCAAACGCCTTGTTCGAGTCTCCATGATTGTGTGGACGCCGCTGAGAAGGAGCAAAACAAGACTTTTGGGAACAAGGTCAAGTACTGCCACTGTTACAATGATAAGAAAGTAACAAATCGGATAGGATGATGACTATATTTAGAATGGAAGCAAAAGAAATCTAATACGTGAAGTAAATCAATCAGGGGTGGAAGTAACGACAGAATAGATGTTGAATTGCTAGAAAAAAATATTTTAAGTGGTCATGATGCGTAACAGTAAAATTGATAAGCAGCTGCAACATTTAAAACCCTTCTCCACCACACGTTTACATAACTGTAAAAGTAACGGTCCCTTTTCCACACCTTTAGGCGTATTTGGAATACAGGGCTAGACTTATATTTTTGTAGACCATAACGCTGGCCGCCTTTACTTCCCATGACTGCACCTGATACCCACTCAATGCTAGGTCGACCTGGGAGTGAAGGTCATTTGAAATAACAAAGTCCGTCTCCGTTAGGACGCGAACCCACGACCTTCCGATTCGCAGTAACAGAATAACAGTTTCGATGTTCTAAACGGGAGATAGTCTGAGGGCAAATGTTCAATTATTGGACTAGCAGGTTCCGTATTAATTGCAAATGGCCGGCCCATGGATCACGAAGACATTGTTAACACTTTTATAGAGATAGAATGTTCTGAGGATTTTCTAAGCAACGTGTTCACATCACTGCTACGAAGCTGCGAGTGTCTGCAGGTTCTAGGCACACTCTAGATTCGGGGGCAAATGTAAAACGAGTAGTAAACAAGACGAAAACAATATGGCAACTTTTAGTTTGCTGTTAAAGAGAGAGACGACGCTAATATAAGATTGTCCTGAATGCTGTAATGATGAATAGTTCCCCAGGTGAACCAGATATGAAGGGGGAATCCGCCGGCATAAGCGCACACCTCTGTGATGTTATTGAAGGTTAGCAATAGCATTACATGGCAGGCTTTTAACTCATCCCGACAATCAACCAGACTTCTGAAAGTGAGGTGCTCAGCTATGGGGATTTGGGAGACTACCACGTTACATAACTCTAGAAACTCTACACGGCAGTCGCCTATTCCGAAAGCTGAGGTGTTTTGACCATATAAAACCTTATGATGTTCCAGATAGGGGGTGTTGTGTGCAATATATGGGAAGGGAAGTTCATTATTGAACGTAAAACTTGGTGCGGTGCAGCACACATTGAACGGAATGTAGAGAGAGAGAGAGAGAGAGAGAGAGAGAGAGAGAGAGAGAGAGAGAGAGAGAGAGAGAGAGAGAGAGTGACCGTGGACTCTACGACGCTGTGTAGAAGGCCTGTTCTAATCTGGATGGTTCCAGGCTGGTCCTGCATACCTGTGTTACGCTGGCGGTAGGTGTACGGGCTGTCTGTGAGTGTTGTTACAGTGGCCGAGCCAGCGTGACAGACGCTCGTGTGGTGAGATTATTTAGATCTCAATTACGTGTCAGGCCGCAGACGAAAGGTCTGGACAAGTTTCACAATGTACTGTACATCGGCCTGTATGATTCTGCTATGACAGTGTACCCAAGGGATGGGTGTCATAGAGGTAGACACATAATCACGAGTAGTGAGTTCGCACGAGCAGGTAATGTTTGCTCGTAGTTGACCACGGGACAGGGTGGCAGTGCCTTGCCAGTAGGAATGACTGTGGCGGTGTAACGTTTTATTCTCGTGATGCCTTTCATTGTTTTGGTGTTGAAATTAGAAATACATTAATTCTGTTTGACGTTCAACATGTATCCGGCGTCTTTTATTGCTGTTGGGCAGGAATGGTGACTTGTTACTGTAACACTATTTAGCATACCATGGATACTTGGCAAGTGTGCGTTGTATTAAGCGAACATTCGCACTCGTCAGGGGGGTACAGTTTCAGGGAAACGAAGCAGAGAAAGAAGACCTCTGCAAGGATAGACACAAGACATTGCCTATGTTTTGGCTAAGAAAGCACATAGGGCTGAGAATTGACTAGAAAAAGAGAAATTCTTGGGCGTGCCGTAACGATAGTGATGTTCTGTAAAGGACTTGCTGATTGATGCTAATAATGATCTGACGACCATGTTTTTTAAAGATTGGAAGTACCTCAGAACGAAGCATTGTACTCGAGGATCATGATATTGTTCCCCGCAACCTCAGACTTCGGGTCAATAAATGGCAGAAGCATGGCAGAATGGTACTCTTCGGGGTTGTTTTTGCCTCCGACAGCGCTTGGCTAGTGCAGTTTCCACATGTGGAGGGTATTCTATAGTTTCGCTGACTGAGCTACTGAGTTTAGTGCTTGGTGCAGACCTGTGAGCTGTGTTTTTTTTCACAGCCTTCTTTTGAGCAGCGGTTGTGTCGTGAGGTTCAATATGGCTGGCAGTCGATTTACGTGTGAGCTGGTGGAGTATCTTATGTAGTAATTCTACGTGTGTATGGTCAACATGTCGTGTCCGACTACTTCCAACAACTGGGCTAATTGTGTGTTCACCAGACGGGACAGTGAAGGACATTTCATTTGATTTGCACTGGCACAGGTTAGGAAAAGGATTCTAGCATGCTATATAGAGCCAGTTTTAACACACCATTGTGAATCCTGGACAATTAATAAGCAAGCCGAACAATATCTTGAGGCCTCGGAGATGTGGTTTAACAGAAGAATTCTTAGAATTCCTTGGACAGCTAAGAAGAGCAACCCTTATGTTTTGAAAGAGGCGAATGCTCAAAGACAACTTATCACAAACACCAGTAAGAGACGGTCATCGTTTTTTGTCATGTTATGAGAAGAGGGAAAATTGAACATGTTGTGACCACTGAAAATATATGTGGAAAGAGAAACAAATGAAGACAGCGGGAGAGGATTCTTGACAGTCTTTTCTCGTAGCATGGAGACGTGTCAACACACGAACTGATACGCACACTTTCAGATCGCTGGTTGTGGAGAGCATGGTCGCCCCCGCCACTCAGCAAGGTTTTTTGATGATGTCACACGCAGCAAGGCATGGGAAAACCCGATTGCTGTGACGTTGAAGCTCTGACTAAGACTAAGTCGCTAATCTCTAAACCACCGAGCCGCACGTGAAATATCTCCTCAAATGCGTTCTTTATAAATATTCTACCCCCTCCACCCCCCCCCCCCTTTTTTTTTTTTTTTGATAACGTCACATGACGGTCCAACATTTTAGAGGGTGGTAAGACTGGGTTTCCCGGCTTTCTGATGCTTTTAACGACCCCAAAACATCTAGAACTGGCCCTAACCCCAACCCACCTACGTCCCACGAGAGAGTGCAGCTTAGGACCCCACGACTGCATGGAGCCTATCTACCACACTCTGAAATATTAGACTGTTCCGTGACCTGTGGATATCCCGTGTTTGGGGTAGGCAATAAAGCAAACCCAAATGCTTAAAAATTGAACGTCTGTAGATAAAGGCTCTTTGTGGCAAAGTGGTCAAGCAATTTGCCTCGCGCTCCCAAAGTCGTGGATTCGTTTTACGGCTGCGTCCTTCAGTTCACGATGGCAATTATCAAGGAGATCCCTGGGGATCGTCTTCTGAGCTACGGAGTTCTTGCTCTGCACGGCGGCGCTCTCGGCAGGCGACTAGCCGTTCTGCGCAGAGAGACAGCAGTATTGGATAAAACCCTGTGCAATGAAGTAATCCTCTAAACTGTAACCTTAACCTTTAACGTCCATGCATAGCTAGGGGAGCCTTTTAGAGCCAACCCCTCCCTTCATTCCCTCAAATAAGGGAAGGGAGCTCAAACTGCACGATCTTTCTTGTTCCGACACCCCTGTCCCAAAGTACACATTTAGCAGACGATGGCACCAATTATATGGTTTCCCAGGCAGACGATGTTGTTAAGACTCGCCTTCCTGCAGGTGGGCCTTGTAAGACAACTATTAGTGTGTCCGGGGATGTTGTTAACTGATCGAAGACGCCAATAATGTTCGTATCATCCGCTATCAGGCGGCCTCATTAGTTATCGGCGTCATATTGTTCAAGTGCTGTTGTGATATAATGACCACACTAACGGGTGTGATAGCCTGTCCTCTGTAATCTTGGGAGCGGAGATATCAGAGTGGCCTCTGGTTTAGATTTAGGTTTGAACAACGAATCAGTATCATGGCACAAGAGTAGTAACCCACAAGTGCTCCGTTCTACTTCTTACTCAACTCTGAGTCCGAAGAATCACAGCGTAATTCACGAACTCCGTAGCACCGGTGACGATCCTGAAATACTTTAGCTAGATTTTTAAATCCAAAATTTTGTCCGAGCAGCGCCGTTAGGCTACTTTTTTTCTATTTTAAAATTGCCAAAGAATTTTTTTTACGTGCGCAAAAATACACACGTGGCGTCCGATCTAACTACCCATAGACCAGGAGAAATTACTAGTAGTCCACGTGAAAAATATTTCAGAGTTCACTGGGGCCAGCACTCGTGGCCCTATGCAATGTCTCGAGACCACACAGCCCGCTTTGGAGTGGCTTTACGCTCGCCTGTCAGTGTGTTGGTCAGTGTGTTGGTCAGTGTGTTGGTCAGTGTGTTGGTCAGTGTGTTGGTCAGTGTTTGAATCCATCTCAAGACAGAATATTTTTGTGGGTTCTTTACTTTTGTTTCACCCTATCTGGGGGCCTCCGAGATTTCATCGGGAATACCCAGGATAATCCCAAAGTATAGGGATGTTAGGGTTAGGGTTAGGGTTCGTGTTCGTTGGTGTTCATGTCACACGAACTAATACAAGTAACACTTAAAATTATGACGTAATAAACGCTTTTTTTTTTAACGTATCCAGAAACCATGAGTTGTAAACCCTTTGGCTCGGTACTTTGGCTGAGTGTCTTGTCGATGCCTCCAAAGGCGTGATGTAGTTTAAAAAGTTAGTTCTTTACAGGACGTTGCAGAACCAACCCCAGATTTTTTGGGCTTTTGTGGGCTTTTTCTAGGCAAATTTTACGTTCAGTCGCAATTAAGTGATTTTTATTTATAAGACAACGTCACATCAACAGATTCCTTGA